ATATATATATATATATATATATGCATGTATCTATATACGCATATGTATATCTAATGTACGTCTTATAGATCTATATATTCTATATACATCGGGTTCCAAATTATTTGTTTTTCAGAAAATTAAACTTTTTTCATACATGATCAACTAACGTGGATGACTTGTAATAATCTATATAACCGTCTCTGGAAACCATTCTCTTGATCATATAAAAATGCTGCGTTTAATAACACCACGACGATTCCATTCTTTGATTTTACATGTCACACTCTATCTTTCCCATTAAAGTGCGATTTTACTTTCGTGAAATCTTATCATAGAAAAAAATGCATAGGGAAAAAATTTTTCCTCTTATTTATGTCTGTCACAATGGAACGACATAATCGTTCTATCACAGTTAAAATTCGCCTAGAAAATAAGGCTATGATGACGAAATTATTTAAATTAAAAAAAACAAATCTCTTTACAATTATGGTCATTTAAGGTATTTCGCTGCCCAATCTGTTCGGCTGTGAGGCCCATTGCTAGCTTTTGAGTTGAAAACATTTCCAAACAGGTTTGGTTGAAACATAGGCTTATTGGTAGTTTCTATTAGAAAGAGATATTAACTGATACTATATCGTAAATCTATTAATTTTTTCTATTTGCAAATAAAATAGAAAATGCATTTGCATTCTTTTGTTTAAAAAATGTGTATTCAAGATATTATTCTTCTGGAATAGGAAGGAACTATGGCATTATAATATGAAATTAATACAAAAAATTACATCATTTTTTAAAATAAGAATGCAATATATAATAAGTCCTCATAAATACTCACTAATATTTTGGGTACCGTACACGCTGGGATAAGGTAACTTCAAGCTTTGTTCGGTGATATAACGGTTTCGCGCGAGATAATGTTGCCTCGTTTGATTTTCAATATTATTTCTAGGCCCCCAAAAAGATTCTGTAAAATCTTCATATTTGTTGGATGTTGCCTGACCGATGAATCCATTTAATAGCAGTTTAGATCGGCTGATATCAGAATCCTCATTTCTTGAAAATGAATAGAAAGAAGTATTATTTTGAACGATAAACGATAAAGAAGCTGCGGTACACATTAATAAAAACATATAAATAGTTTATTATAAATTTTAAATTTACAAGGGACTACACAAGGATCTAGTACAATTTTAAAATATACATTTGTCATTTTATTTGTGCATTTTAATTTTGAAAAATTATTCCATTCAGTATACATTTACCGCCATCCAATGAATATTACCAGTATGCTGCCGAAATTTTGATAATCAGAACAATAATTGCCAAAATATATAGTAATATGTATATTATATATAGCTCGAGTGATTGTATGCTTTGGTCTAGGAAATCTGCTATTATTATAAAACCTTCGACGAGACATTCAATCAAGTTAGTCAATAATATTCGATATAGATATAGGAGATATGCAACATGAAGAAAAATCAGAGAAATTCGAAAAATTGATCC